TATTTTGTATATAAAAGATGACCTATGTAAAATTATGTGATATATTGCAAGATGGCAACATGTGGTAAATAAAATTGAAATTTTATAATTTATTTAATTTGTTACAAAATTCTTCAAACCTCAATAATAAATAGCATTATAATTGAGTTGTTATGGAGTTTTTGGTAAAATACTAGTACACATATCTGATCAATGAAATTCAGCAATAATTTTGCATTAAAATGTATAATTCAGCTATTGAGTTATAATTCCAATTCCAAAATGCTTTCAAATTGCAATCAGCTGTTTTATTCATTCTAAGTCCCTTGAAAGAATTAAATTTTCTATCATAAAAGATGTATGCAAGTCATATAAACAGCCACTCGGTTGGGCAAATTGAAAATAATAAGTAGAGTTTATGAGTTGAGTTTTGCTTGTTAGAGTTTTGCTACAATTATGCCAAAAATATTAGGCTCTTTTCTAGACTGCACCTTTATTTTTGCGTGAAAATTATGCAAATCCAAATTATAAGTATGATAGAATAATATACGTGAATTTGATATAAAATTTGATATGATGTTTTTCTTAACATGCTCACTATTAGGTGACTCACAACAACATTTCTGTATTATTAATTAGAGGGAATATATGCACTAAAAATGTTAGAAATTCTAAGGCGACATCAAATGATTTAATTAAAAATTTATGTAAGTTAATGATGAATTATTCCTAATAATTATAAGTTTGAATAAAAAAGCACTTTTCATATTTTTAAAAACTTTTAATTTTCTTTCTCCATTTTAATTTTAAATATTTCATTAAAATAATCTATACGTATACGTTACATGTATGTATGCCAATTATAAAGTTGTTAAACTACATATTTTTAAATTTTAATTAGTTAACTTTTTAATGGACTTAGTATGTATTCAAATTATTTCATGATTTCCGTAATATAATTAGTAGACAATTTTTTTTCTTCATTTTTCATACTAACTAAACTAGCATAGTTTAAAACTAAAGAGAATATGTACAATCATTAAAGTTCACATGATTTTAAAACAATTCAACATTGTTTAGTGAACTCTAAAACACCATATTAATCCAATAATCCTGTAATTACCTTTTGGACATTACAAAATATATATTTCTTTATTTATATATCTAATATATATATGTATATGTAGTTATCATATCGCAGACACATTAATTTATCTACTTCACTGTCAAGTCATTAAATCGCTTAATACAATTATGATAACTTGTTCAAATTAACTCGGTTTATTTCTCTCTTTCGTTTTTGCATTCATTCCATTTATTAGACAAAATATTTAAAGTTAATTTCTGTTATATGTATAACATTTTATTATTTAAAAATGTTAAAAGGATTTCATTCTCTTAACGGTTCAGTGATAATTGAATTCTTTTATATATTAACACACCCTTTATTCCAGTACATATATGTATATATACATGTTATATTGTACAGTATATCTTCATTCATATTATGTAATATTATCAGTTATATGTATACGTGTAATATATTACCGCATTAAGGTGAACAACGACACCATAAATAACATAAAATGATTACATAAGTAAACAGTTAAAGTGAACATTTTAGTAATGGGAAATGTAAAAATTTGCAAAGCATTATTGTAATATTTCTAAAAGAAATTCTTTGTGTTTATTGGAATATTTTGGCTTGAATTTTTTTGTAAAATTCTTGAAGGTTTCAGAATTATTGTTGAATTCTAAATAACGTCAGAAAAACTAAGGTAAAACCAAATAGTTTTCAAACTGGCAAGCACTTAAAGACGCACATTATAATAATTAAATATAACACTCTGCTTACAACAGTGTGTAAATGATAGTAGATTATTTGCAGCTCAACCTTTATAAAAAACATTTGAACGAACCGTGTGCCTGAAACTTTTTTTTATATTCTCTTGAATTTTCTCACTTTATTAAAGTTTTCTACCGTAATTACAAGTTCATTCACTTGAAACTAAACCACTTGGTATTAAAACTGAATAAGAACCAACAAAGGCAACAAGAATCACTGTCACTTAGCATTATCCAATTTTGTACTCTTAGCCAAATTCTATTTCTTTTAACCGCAATTAAGAGACTGTACGAACCATTGTAGTTTGCAACTCTCTAACACTATCAACAAAACAGGAACTCCCAGCTTTTATTCCCGATAAAAATTTAAGCAACACAATAAGTTAATAAAATAAGTCGGTTATGCATCCAAAATTCTTTGATAAAATTTATTACCAAAAGATTTCCTTGAAACCCCTCACAGTTTTTGTATTATTTAAATACTCTATTTAAATATTTAAATTGTTATAATAAAAATTTTTCGTATTTCTTTGAAAAATTATTGCAAAATTCCGAAAGAAAAAAAAAAAGTTCAAACACCTCACAAGAATCATTATTTTTGTCTACAGATTATTTCATTCATCAACAATTTTAATGAAATATTTACAAAATTTTATGTACTGTGTATGTGAGTATAACCAAATAAACCTCTGAATAATTTACTTGTAAGTATTCAAAAGAATCGTATATAATAAAGAAATCAACTAAATATAAAAGATTTCCTTAAACTTGACACTATAAAAATTCAACTTTTCTATTGGAACTTCCCACTTTCAATTTAAAATTAATTTTTTTTTTTTCACTCTCTCATTCAAATTCAACCTTACAATTAGCGTTTAACATGCAAAATAATTCCGTTTAAACATGGATTAAGCGAATCTTATAAAAAAATTTCAGTTTTATTAATACATATTATTTTGACAGCGAGCGTTAACCATACAATATGATATAAGTGATGATGATGATGATGATTTTCATGATGAACAAAGATCAACGAGTTTAAAATGAAATGAAAATTAAAAATCTTATAAATAAATCTTAATGTACATACGGTTGAATTGTACAACATCCACGCTTGAGACAGCAATTATATAGTTTTCATTTTCTTTTGTATTTTAGATATAAGATAAAGAGGGATGGAATTGTGCAACAATTTGTATATATATATAGAGAAAATATTCAATTTGCATATTTTTTTTTTTTATGTTTTATGTAAATGCTTAAATTCTAAAACAATTTGTATATTTTGTTATAATGAACTTTTATCACAATACAATTGAAGTGGTTTGTGAATTACGTAAAAGAGTAAAAATTTATTATGGACCTATGTGTGACATAATTTAAAAACTTGCATATTTATGTGTCAATTGATTTGATTATAATCCAACGTAATTTATCAAAAACAAAAAAAATGTATAACAGATAATAAAATTAAAAAATAAATTTCTTTTTTCTGAAAATTTTCGAAATAATCAGCTATAATAGAATTGATCTACTTGCATTGCACTCTTATCACTTATATACCCACATACTCACATGGTCATCAAGAGAAAAATTTTCAATATTTTATTTCAACCAATTCAATCAAACACAATCTGGCTAACTATAGTGTTAAAATGCTTTTTTAAAACAATTGCCGTAAAATCAAATATAAAATTGATATCGCAGACACTAAATAGTGTAGGGTGGTGCGAAATTTTTAATATCAAATGAAAATCACACATACCTCAGTAATTTCAATTTGTGTTAAATGTAGTTATAAAAGAGGTAATAAAAATATGAAAATTTTTTGTTATACTCTGATAGATATACTTTATATTCGTAGGTATATGTGTGTGTGAAATGTATCCATGTTATATGCAATATCACTAAAAAACAAAACACAGAAAAAAAAAAGTGAACTTAATTTATGGTCATATAATAAATGATGGGGTGAGGAAGATGTGATTTTCTATTTAAAATGAAAAAAAAAATGCTTTTTTTTTTGTTTTCCTTCAATTCAGGAAAATTGACCTTCGTTCATGAACGGAGAAAACACATGAGCACCAACGTATATAAGCCTTAATCACATAGCTCGTTTTGCATTTACAAGAAGGTGTTGGTTGCTACATGTATAATACTAAAATAATACTGCATTATTTTAAATAAAATAAAAAAAAACAGCAAATATTTATTCAAACTATAATTTTCATTAATTTTAAATAATTTTAATAAATCATTCTTTTTTAAAATCGCAATTTCTTCTATTCAAATTTTAGCAACTTTGTGTTTCATAGCTAATTTATCGTTTTTTGCAATATTGTACAATGAATAAAATTTTGTAAAAAAATTAATTTATCTTTTAAGAAAATATTACATAACAATTATTTTAAGTCATTCTTACCAGAAATGAAGCAGCCACTTATATAAAGAATGCGATCTTTAGTCAAATCTGGTATAGCTCAAAATGGAAGCACATTCGGTGTGGTCAATTAAATATACTTAAATACCCAAAACAATTGATTTTGTATACATTATATTCTCAATAAAGCACAATAGTATCACAATATTTCTCTAATTGCATATATTTAGGATGAGCACAAAATTTAAAAGGAAATAAATTTGAGATTTTTTCGACGTTCTCTCTGCTTTTTCTCTTTGTATTCCAAACGATTTTTAAACAATATGGAATTGTATACTTTGTCCAACTTTCTGAATAAACAATAATGTAAGACAATATGATACATCACCTAAGTCATTCACACCATTCATTCTCCTATCACACAAAAAACAAATTGGAAAAAATATTATTGCATTTGTTCTTATAACATTCGAATTTGAGTTGTTAGCATTATTTTACTGACATCCGCCGAAAAAAACCATTTTGTATCATAAATTCTTCATTACCAATTTACTTTCATAATCATTTCAAAAATTGATAACATTCATTAAAAATTTCATTAAAAAACTTTTCCAAATTCAAATGGCAGAATTTTAAAATTTTTTTTTTTTATTATTTTATTTTCTTAATTATATTAAATTATTACTATAGATTCATTTCCTTAAAAAAAAAAAAATCAAATTATTTTCCCAAACCTATCATTATAATCCCGTAAATTTTTTTTTTCTCTCTTGTATATTCTCTTTCATACATTTAGATCTGCATCTGAAAATAATGGATCAGAAACAAGTTATGAACTTGATGATCTAAGTGATCAAATAAATCAAATATTGGAAAAAGATCCAATAGAAGGGACTGGTGTTGCTGCTGATTTCAACATTCATAACATTGATTGGCTGAAAAACTATTCAAACAGCAACAGTCCCGCAAGGCAAGGAAGGTATGTTTTACCGTTAATAATGAGCAAAAAAAAAAAATTTTTTTTCTGTTAGTTTCTGTAGTCAATTTTTCTACATTATGTAATAGAAAAAAATAATATAAAATGTGTAAAAAAAAAAATTATAGAATTTTTAATATATGAATGACTTTTAATATTAAAATAGAAATTATGAATAGAATTTTAATTATATATAATAGAAAACGCACTCTTTCTCTTTAACTTATTTTTGAGAATAAATTCTCAAAATATATTAATAAATTCACTATATTTTATAGATTTTATTAGCACACTTTCAAACCCAATATAATTAAATAAATCTTCTTATACAATTCAAGTATTATATTACAATTCTAATATATTATTATGTATGTAAGTCTATATGTATGTCATGTAGTATAAGCATGTATCTTTTTTACTTATATAATGTTCTGTATAATTGTTTAAATAATATAACTTTAATATTTTGAATGTTGAAATTTTGAAAAATAAATCTCAACTTTTTAAGAATATTGGACAAAACTCAGTGTATGTATAGGTAAACTATGCGATTGTTCTTCCAATTTTTAATTTACTTCAAATTTATGTACGTTTAATTGAGAGAGAGAATTTATATAAGCTATACTAGCAATAACAAACCTAAAGAGTGTAATCTAAGACGAGAAACAGAATCTTTTAATTCCAGAATTTTTTAGCATTTTAAAAAAAATTTCGAATATAATAAAATCGATTCACATGGTAAGACATTATTTTCTGATCGTGATCTTCTTCCTTCAATTGATGTATTTTCTTTTTTTGTAAAACTAATTTCCTAAAATTTTTGTTTTTATTTTTCTCTTGTGTTATTATTATAGTTTCTATCTAACTGCATGAAAATAAGTATTTTAAAAACTAAAATTATTAAAATAAAATTTAGAAATTGAAACTGTTATACATAATATTATTTTATAATTTGAATATATTGAGTATTCTCTAATCAAATTTGAGCTAAATTCGAAATAGTTTAAAGTTCTTATAATTTGTAAGAAAAACCGTAAAACTTGTAATAACAATATTTCTTTTGGACACCTTAATAACATTTTTCAATTTACACTAAATTTCAAATCATAAGATTTCCCGACCTAATTCATACTCGTATACCAATATACACAAAACCAATAAGAAAAACATAAATAACAATAACCAACTGAGTCTGGATTAAAAAAGAGAAATAAAAGTAAAATTAATTTATTTTCTCTGTCCCTGTCCATATCATTGCTCTATATATACCGACAAAACTAATATAATAAAAAACAAGCACACAAAAAAAAAATTCTATTATCTTCCACTGGCATGACACTCCAAAAAAACAATATCGAAAAAACTACAAATTTTCTTTTAGTTTTTTGTGTAAGGGATGCTGATTGCTGAGTAGTGAGTACTTTATAAAAAAGAGACAATAATATACGATTATTTTTATTTTTGTCTCTTTATTTCACAAAAAAAAAAAGAAAAAAATAAATAATCTTTCACTCTGTTGCTAACATTCGTTTCGTTCGTTCGTTGCTGCTGCCGCTGCTGCGATTCGTTTCGTTTTATTTTTCTTTTTTTGTTTTTTCGCTTTTTTGTTTTTTATTCCGTTAATAAATTTAAAACGTACAAAAAAACTATAAAATCGGGGTACAAAAAAATGACAAATAATAATGATAAAACTGCAAAAATGACACTAAATAAAAAATTTCAATTAAAATTATAAAAAATAAAAAAACAGAAGACAAAAAATGCTAAAAATAAAAAATAACAGCGCAGTTCTAAATCGTTAGAGTAAAAAAAAATTGCAACCTATATTCTCATTCTATAACAATAACTTTTATCAATATTATTTTCAAACACACAAAAAGAGAAAAAAAATAAAAATTTATTTATTTTGCTTTGCCAAAATACAAAGCCGAAAAAAATACAAAATAAAAATTTATTAAAAATGTCATCTTGTACAACTTGCAGTACTGTCATGGAAGTACCACCACATCATCCATCACCTATATCACCTGGTAATATTTTAGTATCATCTGAAACTGTTAGTCATAATTCATCATCACCATCAAAATCATCACGTAAACATTATGGTTCACAACATCGTGTTACAATCGATGAAAGTAATTTACCATTATCAGCATCATCAACACACCATCAATTAGTAACAATAACAACAACAACAACTCAACGTGATGGTAATGGTGGAGGTAGCGGTGGTGGTTCATCACCACCACCATCTGGTGGTGGAGGTGGACCAGGAGCAACATCATCATCAACACAACAATTAGTAGCAACAGCTAGCGGACAAGGTGGTCATTTAGCATTAATGTATCATAGTAGTCAACATCATCCATTACCAATGTTACCAACAATTAGAAAATCATCTAGGGCACCATCTTATTATTCAACAGCAAGTCATCATCATCCGGAAATTAAAGCGTAAGTGATTTTTATATTATTTTTTTTTTCTTCATATTACCAATACATTTTTTACCTTTTATAGAAAAAAAAAATTTAATTATTTATTTCTTCATTTTTATGATTCTTCGAATAAGATTATTAGTATATAGATTGTATTTTCAAGGTTGTATAACAGAATCATGTATACCATAAATCATTAAATAAACGAAACTTTAAGGATTCTTGTTCATCTCCTTCATGAGAAATTTCAATTCACTTCTATTTTAATTTTTAAAATGACTATAATAAATGAATGGTTTGATAAATTTTTATTGAAAATTTTGAAGAAAATTAAACAAAGAATTAATTATCATAGTTATATTTTTAGATTAAGAATTTTATAAATATTATTTGAAATTTAAAGTGGCAATTTGTTGGGATAAGAAAAAGGAAATTTGCTTTCTAAAGCTTCAATCTTGTTTATTCAGTTTTGAAACATTTTATTTATTTATTTTAATCAAAAAAGTAGTCTGAAATTTATTACTACAATTAACATAAATAATATTTTTATAACTATGCATGTACATACAGACATACTTATATACTTCGTATTCGTTTGTATTGCGATGTAGGAAAACAATAAAAAAATCTAACAGTGATAATTGTTATTACAGTGATTGTTATTTCACAAATCTCTTTGTGAAATTTGTTAGAATTTATGAATAAATTACAAGATTATTTTAAGATCTATACTGATTAAGGTATAGTATAACAAATGAAATTCATAATTTTGAGATTTTGTTATATGATATAATATTACATAGTTAGTACCTAATAAATTATATTGAAATTATTTATTTAAAACGTAACATGACTTAAAAGTCAAATTTAGTTCCAATTACATTAAGTAGGCTACAGAAATTGAATAGAGTAGAGCTTTGTTTAGTTTATGGAAAAAAGTCAGGCGTATTTATGAATATTATTCTTAATAGCATTTTATTCTTAGGTTTTATCTTAAAATAGAAATCTGGCCCTTCTTTAATAGGGGAAAAAATTTGGCACCATAAGCATCTTGCATAGTCAGTGCTACAGTTCACTTTACTTCGACTTCTTAAATTATGTATACAAGATTTATTTTCCATTTAATAAAATTAATTCGAAATAGCAACGCAATATTTTCAGGATAAAATATTTGACCAAATTTCAATTCGGTAGCAAGGGTAACGTAACAATATAACGATAAAATTATATTGTGTTTGCCGGAGAACTTCATGTATTAATCAAACAATATAATTGTTGCTTATTTAAAATATTTTCAATTACTCTACGTTATTTTGCCATTATTTTTTATTAAGAATAGGATTTGCTTCTTTTTCTTATATCCTTTTCAAATTTTTATTTTAAATTTACTTCTTTATTAAAAGTATAATACCTATAGAAGCAACAAAGGACCAAAAACTTTTATATTTTACTTATTACAAATACTTTTCACACACCTTCATCTTTGTTCTTATATCTCAAATCTGCACATTACTTTAAAAAACTTAGCCTTCATAGGTACCTCTAACGGAATAAATATTTATAGTTTCATAGGATACAATAATGACTACCTACGAGTAGTCATTCACAATAATGATATAATACTAATCACCAGTATAGAAACAAAAAATTAAAAATAAATTTAAAAATAAAGAAAAGCAAACTGAGAAGGAAAAAGGAAAAGTTTTCAAATAAAATAAAAAGTTTAAATAAGAATGAATAGTAGAAAAAAGAAAAAACAAAAAAAAAGATAAAAACTTATACGTGACATGAAACATTTTCAGAAATCAAAAGTTAAAATAAAAAGTTCAAACAAATTATAAAACGTCTATATACCTTAAGAGAAAAGATTAAAAGAAGAGAAAAGAAACAGGACAAAAATTAAAAGCACAACAAAATCTTATTCATACCTACAGATCCTTATTTTATTTTATTTTCTGATTTTGTTATATAATTTCAGTCCCGTCCTTGTTTAAACAAACTATCCAAATAAACATATAAAATAAAAGCTTAGATTTTTAATCTTTATCACTATGAGGTGATTGAATGAATATTCCGATGGCTACACTCACAAGGCTCCTATGTTAAGTTTGGTACTTGTTATTAAAATCTATGATTCTTTCAATATTTACTAGATGTATTCACTTAGTTCTAAGTTCGGAAGAAAATGTGAAAATTGAAAACTTCTTCCAAATTCTGAATTAAAACTCTTAATTCAATTAAATAAGGCGAGTTTGGCCATTTTTTCCTTTCGATTTTTTGAAAATTTATTCACCACATTTCGTGTTATTGTAGAAATTATGCATACAAGTATAAAAAAAATCTGAACTTTTCCGCCTCATTTCTGAAAACATTTCGGAAAATATTGTGCTTTCCCCTAAAGGTATGCAAAGTTATAGAGTATTTTAATTTTATTATACAAAAATATTTTCGTAAATCGTTTTCATTTTTTAATACTAAAGTTATTGCACTAAATTTTTTATATTTAAATTTTTAAGGAAAATGTTTGATTTTCCCTCAAGATGTAATAAATACGATCGACTCCATCTTTTCCTAAAGATTAAATGAAAAAGTTTAAATTTAATTTATACAAATTTTTAAATTTAATTTCCTCATTAAAACCACAGAATTTTATACCCTTAAATATATCATATACTAATTTGAGATTAAACTCAAAAGGTGTACGTAAAATTATAAGATAATATTATTATAATGCATTTCTAAAATGTCATTGCATACCGTTAGGGGCGCACTTCATAAAAACGTTCAGGTTAACATGTTATTACACAAAAGTATAATGAACTTAAATGTCGTAGACAATGTCGTATTTTATGAGAAACCATATTTTATCATCTTAATGCGATCATCTTAAAAGTTATTTGTATGTAATTATACGATGATTTCTTAGTAAAGTCTTTAAAGTAGTTAATCATGACAAGCAACTTCTGTGACCTATGTAAAAGGTTAATTCGTTAATGCATTTTTGCATTTAATAAACAAAATGTCTTCTTTAGAAATCTTTAAATAAAAATATATTAGTACTAAAAATTTAGAAATAGAAGAATGCATTAACACCTAGTCACTTGATCTCTAATTAATTAAAATACTACAAGAGTATAGATTTGTGAAAAAAATGTGAGAATCTTTAAATTTTCCTTTAAATTAATCGTTTTCCTTTTTCCTCTATTGCAAATATATTTTGCAATTAAATACAAGTAATGAATTTAAAAAATCTTCCTCAGATTCTGCGTTATAACTAGATATTTTTTCGTTTCCTTATATAATTACATTCATATATCCTTATATATCAATATGTATATCCTTATATACAAGATAAATACATTATTGCACCGTTCATTACAGTAATATTTTAAAAGTTTAATTTTTTTTTTCTTTGTTTCATGTTTGTTTTACGTTTATTTCATTTACATTAGACGTGTCTAGCTTTAAAGATTATTCGTTTACATTAAGATAAGACTTAAAAAATACAATGTGCTTATAAGATATAAACGTATCTATATTATGTACACAGTCTCTTATAAGATTTATATGACAGGTAGGTATATATAATTTTGTTATACTATTTTTTCACCTTTCTTCAACTATATTTACGATTAACATGTGTCATAATGAAAGCATAAGAAATTCTAAGAAGATTATTAAGAAAAAATAAAAGTTGGAAGAAAATTTTTGAAAAGGATAAGTAAGAGAAAAGTTTTAAACTTAAATTTTTATACTCTTGTAACCTTTTAGGGAATTTTTTTTTTTTGTGTTTCAATTTTTTTTCATAACATTTATCATGTTATGCAGATGTTGCCCTTATACTATATGTTTTCCTTTTCAAAAAAGTATTCTATAGTACACAGGTATATCTGGTGCAAAGAATATATAAACACATACATATAAGTACCTACACTAATATATTATAGTATAAGTGAATTTACAAAGCATGTGATGGATATTGGTAGTTTGTATTATATGTGCGTATACTTTATATAACTTGCAATATATCGCAGGAATATTTAATAACAAGGATAGGAAAAAGAAAAGTTTTATATAGTAAATGAAAAGTTTTTTGCTTTTAATATAAGAAAAACTTTTCTTCCCTGATTGAGTTAATAAAAAAGTGTTATAGGTGTCTTGTTTTGTACCTTTATCCGTGGTATAATTAAAATTTTTAACTGCCAAGTTTATCGATTTCAAAGTTAAAAAGAAATTAAAATCGAAATATGAATATTTTAATTGGATATTATTAGAAAGGAGACAAAGAAGACAAATATAGAGAAACCATAGAAATCACAATTAAATTTGAAACTATAAGAGTCAGTGAAAAGTGTTTAAATGTTAAAAATTATTTGAGAAAATTTTTTCAAGTGCGTAAATGGAAACTAAATCGCATTATTTAAAAGAATGTGTGGTAAGGATTTCAATTTCTCAAAGGAAAACTGACAACATAGATTAAATAGTAAGTATGGGATGGAATTTTTCTTCTTCTAATGCTAGATTCTGCTTTCAGATATGGGCTTTACTATCACAGGACTTTATCACCATGTTTCTTTTCATGAAATGTCATCATGAAAATTGTTGCCATTTACAGAATTCGAGCAGCTGTAACGAATCACTTTTTTCGTTTACCTTCTCATCTGATCCCTACAACATCGTTTTATTGAGAAAAAGAGGCTTATACTCCAAAATTTGATATTCTTTTCGATTCTCTGTGAAAAGTACTAAATGGACAGACCATCAATCTTATCTCGTGGAATTAATTTCGTTTGACATGTTTTCATTATCTATTTATCGATCAGATTTTTCGTTATAATACGAAATAGTATTCAAATTTTTACAAGCCTTTGCGTAATTAACGTATGTATATTTTTGTACAATAATCATACGTAAAATAATCAGCTTTAATGGTCATCATATTCTTCTGTTTCCTCTTCTAATCTCATATTATTTATGTTTTTCAGTTACCGTGGTGCATTAATAAAGTTAAGTTCGCA